TTTGCCTCAGTGTACTCAAACACTAGAAGATTTCGGGTTTGAAAGATGGTCAAGAGTACATCAACTTGGAGCAAGATATGGTTTCATGACGTCTAATAGTGCAGAATCAATTAACGCTCTAAGTCGTCATTCCCGGAAATTACTCATTACTATGTTAATGGAGTTTTTTCGAGCCTCTATTCAACAGTGGTACTACAAGAAAATAAACCATGCAAGTATTATTTCTTTGAATTCGTAACTTATCATATATTTTACTAAGTATTATTTATTTAAATTTACAGGAACATTGGAACATCGTGTTATACCATTGACTGAAAAAAAGATAACGAAACGTGTTGTGAAGTCAACGTCATGGAGAGTTGAACCATGTTCAAACACTTTGTTTGAAGTACTGGATAATAACTTAAATGGGCTTGTCGATCTAAATGCAAGGACGTGTAGTTGTATGAAATGGCAAACATCTGGTTATCCGTGTGGCCATGTTATAAAAGTTGCTCTTCATCTAAACCAAGATGATTCAAGCACATACGCTATGGATTGCTATACTACAGAAGTATATCGACAGACTTATGCCGAGATTGTCTACCCTATTTCACATTCTTCTGAGTGGGACATACCAGATGACTTACAAACAGTTTTGCCACCAGCCATGGACAGAAGGCTACATGGCTGACCAAAAAGTCACGATCGTATACCGTCTAAGGGTGAAGAGAAGAAGAGATCGACATGTAGTCGGTGCAAGGAAAGTGGTCATACAAGGTTGACATGTGGATCACCAGTGCCATCACAATCATCTTTTCCTCTACCAAAATATGGATCATCATCAAAATCCAATGCTCATATGGTGTCAAGAAAAAGGCAATCAAAATCGCAATCATCTTTAAAATCCCAATCACAACTAGCTTCACCTTTTGGGACTGTTAACTTAGGTGATTTTTAAATGCAAACGTTGTATTATGTAGATTTTATGTGTGAACTTTTAACATTTTCAGTTAGGCATGTATTAGTAACTTGAGCTTGAAAATTGCTATGATCTGTTCAGTTGTTATCACTTAATAGGCAATCATCTTAATGTCTATCGCAACACGGAAATTACTATCGCAATGCGAAATGAAAATCGCAACGAGAGAATCGCAATGCGAAATGAAAATCGCAACGCTAATTTCGCAATGCGAAATGAAAATCGCAACGAGGGAATCGCAATGCGAAATGAAAATCGCAACGCGAATTTAATTTCGCGTTGCGATTTTCATTTCGCGTTGCGATTCTCTCGTTGCGATTTTCATTTCGCATTGCGATAGTACTTTTTGCCTTCAACATAATGCAGATTGAAATCAACAAAATCAACCATTACATTTCAATCAATTAAACAAGCACAAATAAGAATTATGTTAACATCAATTAAACAAATCAACTTTTACAAATCACCTTTTACAAATCAATTAAACAATCAAAAAATAAGCAATAATTATTAGAGAAAATAACACTTCTACTATTGAATCAACTTTTGCAGCCATACATCATTTTCACGCAGCTTACTTCTGAGATTAACCTGCATAAACCAAACATTTGCTCAAACAACACTTTCTACACATCTAAAACCTACAAACAGCAAATTATTGAATTCTAGGTACTTAACCAAACATTTTCAAACCACAAGCCTATAAACATACCAATTGTTTATGGACATTTTTATAACGCGGATGCAGGTAGGCAGCGTCTCGTATATATCGATCTAGCCATATAATGTCGAAACCACAAGCCTACTGCAGCTCTATCTATATCGGTGGGAGGTAGATACTTTATACTTCCTGTGATCAAACGGTCCAACGCCAAGCATACGAGAGGACCACAATCCCTTTTGGGTCCTTTCGTTTGTTGTGGTGCGGTCTCGTCTCTGCTAACTGTAATATTGAGCTTCTTTGGCTTCTTGTTTCCAGAACGAGTCCAATAATTTATCGCATCCAAGAATTTAGCCAAATAAGAGCTCCATCCCTTATAATATCTCTTAAATCAGCCAATGATATGTAATTTATCATGCTGTCATATACTATTGCCTTAAGGGATGGGATCTAAAGCTCGACGAGAAGCCAATGGTTACGTTCCAAAACAGGGATAAACACCTGCAATCATAAGTAATAATTCATTCATTTGCGCACTTATTTATGAATACCTTTAAACTCAATCTAAAATAAACACTAACCTTATCGACCTCCCACCATGCAGGATAAAGTTTAGCTTGTCCATTGCCCAACGCAAATGATTCATCTCGTTGATTCTTCAAGTGAACGACGTTAAAAGACGTCGGCATAATTGTATATCGTGTATTTCTTTTATTTTCCTTAAGTTTCCTAATTATTAGAAGACGTGACACCCACGCATCGATATGCTGTTTTACAAAAAAAGACATATATTAGTAACTTACATAAATTTACAAAAAAATAATCAAATTAAAATATAAGAAAAATATAAGACTTACCCCTCCATCGAAATAGCCATTGTCTTCGACCCCTAATAATACGCCCCACCAAGACCGATCAAGCAACAAATAGATATCATCATTGAGCTTGCATATGTCAGTGAAACACCCCTGGCTTCGCTCATGTAGATAAAAATCAACTGCGGTCTTAGCCCAAAGGGTGTTATCCAGAATTGTGTCCGGTAGTTGTTTCCTCTCCTCTTCAGATACCGGTATGGTACTGGTCGGTAACTCATACGAGAGCCAACTTGAATCCATCATGTCCGACACGTCAGAGGGTTTCTCAAGAATCCTACATATGACGCCATGTGAATCGGGCTCTTGAATGGTGGGAGGGACCTCTTCAACGATGACAGTGGCCTCTTGAACGGTGGGAGGGGACTCTCGAGGAATGATAGGGGCCTCTTCAACGATAGGAGTGGACTCTTGAGGGATGACAGGCGAGTCGGGCTTCTTCTTGCGGTGTCTTCGCACTATTGGGGTATACGGAGACTTAATAGCACGTGCACGCCGTCTGATGCGTGAACTCTGTCGTGCAAGAAAAACCCGACGTAAAGCATCCACCTTATCGGTCCGCTAAATAATTAAATACAAATATCAGTAAATAAACGGACATGATATTTAAACAGTGAAAACAAAGACAAATATATTTCAAAACTTCAACCAAAAGACAAAACAAAGACAAATACTAACTTCACAGTGTTAAAGAATACACAGTTTAGCAGAATTGGTAGCAACCGAATAAATTTACTTCAACCAAAAGACAAAACAAAAAGACAAATACTAACTTCACAGTGTTAATAAACAGTTTAGCAGTATTGGAAGCAATCGAATAAATTTACTAAGCAATCTAAGTGAAATTGTTAATTTAAGTGAAATTACGAGTAAATTTATCATCAAGTTAAATATGGAAAATCTTAAACTTACCTCGTTGCGTAGAGTATGAACCTCATTCTGCAACGATACTACTATCTCACTTAGAGCGGCAACCTCACCACGTAAAGTAGACACCTCCACACGCCATGCACCATCGTTATCGCGTAGAGTACCGATCTCCTCACGCAAGGCATTGACCTCATCACGTAACTCCCTTGACTCATCCCGTGGAGGTGGAGAACAGGGAGATAGAAGTCGTGGCATCTTTGCCGGTCGCCTATCATGAGGTGATGGTGGAGAAGAGGCTCGATGATGTGACGGGATAGGTGATGGCTCTCGTTGTAGAGGTGTATAGTCAGGTCAATCAGGTGATGGCTCTAGGTGAGGTGATGGCTCTCGAAGTGGAGGAAGTGGAGGCTGCTCATCATTCGTGCCATCAAGAAAACGCTGACTAGCTTGCCACTAATCAGTGGCAAGCTCAGCCTCCGTGGGTGTCAGTCTCATTAATGGAATGTTGGCCTCCTAAAAATATAAAAACTCAAACAAAGTTAAACGTCTACTATTAATAACTTGTTTATATATGATAGTATTTGTGTTAACTTACATTATTTATTATCGCATATGATATTAAGTCTTCCCAATCCAACAGACGTTTCCTCTTCCAGGAAATAGCCCTGGGAATATCATTTGAAGTTTTTATTGCATATGTCTTCATGGCAGGAAAGGCCTCGAATATCCAAATCTACAAACAATATAATAACAAACATTAGTAATTGTTAAATAATTAATTATAATTTTGAAAACATTATATAGAAATTCTTACCTTAAAGGCCCAAACAAAGCCTGACAAAGTGTATTTCGACCCATCGCCCCGCAAACTTTTGCGGTCATCAAAGGCAGACGACAACTTAGTCCAGGTAGCTTTCCATATATACGAACCCCACGGAAACAGATTCCATGCATTTAGGTCCTCTACCAATAATATTAGCTCATGAGGAATAGGTTGTCTGGCCTCTCTGCCTCAAAAGCCGGCATACAAAAGTAGTAGAAGGCATACTCGGACAACATCGACGTCATTCTTCCGAGTAAAACCATCTTTCTTATTAAACAATTTCTTCATATCGTTGACGTGTAAGTTCGGCTTCTCTATTGACTCATCAAGAAAAACCCTGGATAACTATGATGGGCGGGTGATATGACGAGTGTACCGGCCTACATCATCGTGTCCGAATCGTAGACCAGTGATTAAGTAGAACTCCTTCCGCCCAAAACAAGTATACGCCGGTGGAAAATGAAACCATATCTCTTCCTCACCACGTTGTATACTGTCGGGTAGATCTCTAGTCATGGTCTGAAGCCACAAATGGATCAAATTAGCATCTCCACCCGGATGCTGTACTCTCAGCCATGGCCCGAAGCAGGTTTCCTCAAACAATTTTCTTTGTGCATGTGAAAGCTTCGAAGCAATTGTAGTGGCTAGGCTAACTTTATTCCTTAATGTCAATGAAGCTGAAAAAAATTTCTACAAAAACAATAAACATACCAAGTTAGATATACCAAAAACTACACTGTCAAGATATATCAAAAACAATAAACATAAATAGTAGTTTATTCTTGAAACTAAAATTTGCAACACTGTTTTGTCTTTTGGTTGAAATGAAAATTGCAACGAGATAATGAGAATCGCAACGCGAAATGAAAATCGCAATGCGATTTTGGTTTCGCGTTGCGTTTTTTATTTCGCGTTGCGATTCTCTCGTTGCGATAGTTATTTCCGCGTTGCGATTTTCATTCTCGAAACTATTCTTCTTCTGCATTACTTCAACCAAAAGACAAAACAAAGACAAATACTAACTTCACAGGCTAAACAGTTTAGCAGTATTGGCAGCAATCAAATGAATTTAATAAGAAATCTAAGTGAAATGGTTAATCTATTATTGAAATTACCAGTAAACTTATCATCAATCTCAATATGAAAAACCTAAAATAATGCAAAAATTTCAAAATAAAAATAAAAAAAACTAACCCTCGGAGGTTGATTTTCCATTTCTGAATGATTGTGAGGGATTTTTGACTGTGAATGGTTGTGAGGGATTTCGCCGGCGATGGGGACGGAAATCTTCGGAGATGGGGACGGATTTCGCCGTAGAGAGTGAGAGATGGAGATGGGACTGAGTGTTGTGATTTTGGGTTTGAGGTTATGAGTTGCGATTACTGTGGACGGTTCAGTTTCCGATTTATTAAGAAAAAATTCGTGTTTGGAATTTGAAAAAAAAATACGCGTTAATACGAATGGCGCTATGTAAATCGCGTTGCGAAAGTCAGTATCTCGTTGCGATAGTCAGTATCTCGTTGCGATTTTGTATTATCGCATTGCGATAGTAAGTATCGCATTGCGATAGTCAGTATCGCATTGCGATAGTCAGTATCGCATTGCGATTTTTCCAATTCGCGTTGCGATTTACTTATTCGCATTGCGAATTGGGAAAATCGCAACGATACTGTAGACCATCGCAACGCGAAATGCAACGCGAATTTGCGATAATGGAGATCGCGTTGCGAATTAGCGATCGCATTGCGATTTTTTTGGTCATTTTGGCAAATCCGGAAAAAATTGATTAAAATCGTATATTATAAGACATTTTTAGTACGTGTTAATATGTAAAGGCAGTGTTAATACGTGTCATATCATAAACGCATAAAACCAATCATCCCACTTTGACAATCAATCGTAACTTTGTAAAATAAATAAATAAATTTGTAATAAAAGAATTGAGGGGTGAAATCAATTGAGATACAACTTTGTAATACAAAGTATTAATTATTATTCAAATAATATTTTTAATAATATAGAGTAATTATGAAGTAGTATATATTTATAATTCTTTTAATAATTGATAATACACATATATCTTACAGATGCAGTTATTTGAATTCAAAACATCAAGTGAATAATACTTCCTTTAACCACTAAAATCACTCTTGACCATTGTAATCGTTCAATAAATTCATTATTCAAATAATTTTAAATTTTATATAGATTTACTTCTTTTATAAATTTCGAAAGGTTCAAGTAATATTATTATCGTCATATTATTTTTTAAATCATAATTAAATTTATATTTCTAAATATTAATTCGTGCTACAAGCATATAATAATGATAACTTATGAATAATGAATAGTAGAAATTCTTGATTCTACAAATGGTCTTAATTGACTGTTTTTATCTTGTATATTTATTTAAATAATTAAGACGGCTTCAAAAAAGAAAATCTTCGTATCGGTAATTATCTTTTAACGTATGGATAATTAAAGGAAAGATTGAATCAAATTATCTTAAGGGACCTTCTACAGTGCGACACCTTTAATATATAATAAAAAAATGTGTTATTAGTTTTATTATTATTTAAATAATCAAATTGGTAAAAAAGTTACCTAAAACATTATTATTTATAACTAAAACATCAATGATTTTTAACATTTACGGTAAAGTGTCCAATAATAACAAAACAGGTAGCGTTTTACTGGTTTTGTTAACAAAATCGATAAAACAACTAAAAATAACAAAACCGATAGCAATAATAATGTTTTCAATAATTTTTTACTAATTTTATTATTTAAATAATAACAAAATCAGTAATACTTTTTTTAATAGTATATTAAGATTGTCGCACGTGATCATTTCTCTTATCTTAAAAAAAGAAAGAAAGATGGGATCAAATTTAGATCTGAGGCTGTAAATTTGGAAATGTGGACTGTGGCTCAATGAAGCCCAGTTATACTGCGAAGTCGGCTAACTTGTGTTTTATTTTATTTACTTGACCCAAACGTCTAGGATCATCTAGAAGTAGAACAGAAAATTTGGGCTGCTAGAAAATTCAAACTCAAAGTGTCAAGGGCGGCCATAAAACGACACCGTGGAAGCTCTTAGTGCAGGCACTACCATCGTCCTCTCCTCCCTATTTACATTTCCTCAAGATCTTTTAAGGGTCTTACTCTGCCGAAGAATTTCTTTATGGTGCGCTTTGTTCTCTCAAATTTCCTTATTCATTTCCGTTTCTCATTTTCATCACCATTACTATTATTATGATTATTGATCTTCATGCATTCTAAATGAATGCTTAATAATGACCATACTTTTAACCAGTGCTTAAGTAATGGCTGTAAGCTCTTTTCCAATACCGGGTTTTAGATGATCCATGCTTGCATTTTTTTGGGGGTATTGGTGGATCTTTGGATTTTTAATTTAGATCCTTCCTTCTTTGGGGTAAATTGTCGTATAGCTTATGGGTTCATATTTTGGTACTAAATTGGTGTCCATTATACAATCTTAGCTTCTTCTTATCCTTGTTTTGTGTAAATCATGATGAGAAATGAAGAAAAAGATGCTGAATTGTTTTTTTTAGAAATTCTTTACCTTTTCAATTATTAGGGTTTTAACTCCTGGAACTTAATTCTGGCATGTAAATTACTGCCTAATTTTATATTATAATTGATAATTCTATAATGCAGCAACGAATGTTATGTCTAAAATGAATTTTATGCTTGATCTGAATGATACTGAAGTCATCTTGACTAGCTGCTGTTATTTCTCCAAATTTACACCTGATTGGAGATTGGATTTGTAGTAGATCGAGTTAAAAACTTTTAAGATGATTATTATTTTGTTTAATTGTTGTAAGCAAAACCGGATCTTTTGAACCTACCTGATTTCTGTATGTTTAGCTCGCATTTGATATCATTTAGATGAAGTGAACTCTGCCTGAATAATCATGGATGCATATTGTTGTGAGGTCTGAGTTGTTCTTTATCTATTAACAGTGATAGTCAGATCGTGATGGTGAAGGCATATGGTCAAGATCACATTTACAAGCATCCATGGGAGCGAGTAACTTCTGCTTCTTGGCGTAAATTTGCTGATCCTGAGAACAAGCGTACCTTGTCTCACATCCTTGAAGTTGACACGTTGAATCATAAACTTGATCCTCTCTCTGGTAAGCTCTACACTACTCGTGCTCTTACCATCCATGCTCCGGGGCCATGGTTTGTCAGCAAAATCATCGGCCAGGATATCTGCCACTGCATTGAATCAACCGTTGTTGATGCCCAATCTAAGTCGATGCTGCTTACAACCCGTAACGTCAGTCTTCAGAAGTTTATAGAGGTAGAGGAGAAGATAAGGTATGATCCTCACCCTGATAATCCATCGGGATGGACTATTTGTCGACAAGAGACTAGTATCCGTATTAAGCCGTTATCAGCTCTGGCATCCATGGCTGAAAAAGTTGAGCAACGATGTGCTGAGAGGTTCATGCAAAATAGTGTGAAGGGTAGAGAGGTTATGGAGAGGATCTGTAGGTACCTTGAAGCTGAATCTAGTGGGATGGCTCTATAATTGCTCACTTTCTCTCAGCTGCTTCTCTCATAGAGTAGGAAACAGCAGAAGAATGTAAGATGCAAAACCCTTCAAGGTTTAGGTTTGATTTTGAATGCCCTTTTTAGACTTGGTGCAAATTTTGGTGTAGCCCATATCTAATTTGGGAATAATACTCTCCTTAATAAATTTATGATGAGATTCTATTTACTTTTTTCTTATACATAGTCGGAGGAAAAGAGTGCCTATAGTAGCAATTACAGAAATATGGTACGAGGTAACACTCGGCAAGACATTACAAAATCAAAATAAAAGAATGAAACAAAACAAATTCTCGACACTATCCGGACCTAACAAAGCACCACATCTACCCTTAACCACCAGGGGCCTCACGATGGCTAGCATATGAATTCCCAACCTCTGGCATCGCCCGGCTAGGACTACTTGCACTTTGGATCAAAGGAGAGCCATATTGCTGCTCCTTAATAAGCAGCGGAATCACCTCTAATGGTGGCTGCACAAAGGAGATTTCGCCTATCGGTTGCCACGAGACAAAACAGCTACCGTATCCGCCACATCATTCAAGCTACGTCGGACATAATTGATCTTGACCTCTCAATCACGCGACAAAAATTCCAGAGTCTCCTCCATCAGCATGTTGTTCACGGGGCTGGTGAAGTGGTGGTTGAGCAGCTGACCCACTTACACATTATCCGATTCTAATTCAGGCCGATGAATACCCATACGCCACGCATGAGAAAGCATGATAAAAACAGCCCATTCAGCCACTAAAATCGAACAATTACCCCGACTTTTAGTGAAACTGGACAGCCATGCGCCTTGATCATCTCTTAGAACGCCACCTGCGGCAGCATCGTTAATCTGCAAGCTACAATCTCTGTCCACATTCGCCTTAACCCAACCACATGAGGGCCTTTTCCATTGCAGATTCTCTGAAATTGAAGGCTGTGGACCACCACCCCGTAGCATTCCTGATGGCCTTACTTGCTTCAAATTCCTCAGCCAAATGACAAGAGCGAAACAACAATGTTGGATCATAAACTTGATCCATTATGGGAGCCTAAACCCAAACCCAAACTAAATTGATGTCATTACTTACATCATTTAATTAAAGATGTCATTGCTTACATCATTTAATTAATGATGTCATTGCTTACATCAATTTAGTTAGGTGAGAGTTAGATATTTGTTGAATTTGTAATTGTTTAAATTAGTTTATTTGTGTGGTGTAGGATTGTTCTTGAGTAGTATAAATACCCCTTCCCATTTTAGTTTTAAGCATCAAGAAAAATTAAGAGCTTCTAAGTGAGTGAAGAAGCAAAGTCTTATAAGAGTGAGTTGTAGTTCTTGTTTTTGAGTGAGAGTACTCTTGTAATATTTGTTTGAGTTTCAATAAAAGTTGTTTGTGTGAGTGTTTTATTTCCAACAAAGTGGCATCAGAGAGAGTTGGAAAGATCGAAGGTCTCGACGAGAGGAATACGACGCCGCCAGAATTTTCTCAATCTGAGTTCTGACGCACCGCCACGCACCGCCGGAAGACTGCTGCCAGAAAATCGAGTTGACTCACCGAGTTGAGCCGATTAAGCCGAGTTGGAGCTCTTGACCGAGTTGTCCAAGTCCCTCCAAAGTTTTTTTTCATCGTTCCGGATTCATCCGTGCAATCGGATTTTACAAAATCTCATTATATTGAGAGATATGGCAAATGGTATGGCACCATTCCAAGTTCCGACACTCAACAACAACAACTACGACAATTGGAGTATCAAAATGAAGGCACTTCTTGGATCACAAGATGTGTGGGATATCATAGAGAAAGGCTATAATGAGCCTGCGGATGATGATGTTTTTGCTACTCTTACACCAGATCAAAAGACAACTTTGAAGGATTCAAGAAAGAGAGATAAGAAGGCTCTCTACCTAATCTATCAAGCATTAGATGATGATGGTTTTGAAAAGATTTCAAGTGCAAGCTCTAGCAAGGAAGCATGGGAGAAGCTGCAAACCTCTTACAAAGGATCCGAGCAAGTGAAGAAGGTTCGTCTCCAAACATTAAGAGGTGAATTCGAATCCTTAAACATGAAAGCATCTGAGTCTATTTCAGATTATTTCTCAAGAGTAGTAGCTGTTTCTAATCAATTAAAAAGAAATGGTGAAAAGTTAGACGATGTGAGGATAATAGAGAAGATACTCCGTTCGTTGGATCCCAAATTTGAGCACATCGTCGTGACGATTGAAGAAACTAAAGACTTGGAAGAAATGAAGATCGAACAGCTCCAAGGATCATTGCAAGCATACGAAGAGAAGCATAAAAAGAAGCATGAGTTTACTGAGCAACTCCTCAAGCTGCAACTCAAGGATATGCATGAGAGCCAACGCAATGATAGAAACCAACGTGGCCAAGGCAGAGGTAGAGGCCATGGACGAGGTGGAAGTCGAGGTCGTGGACGAGGCTGGAATTACAACAATAACAATTCCAACAACAACTATGAGAAAGGAGAAAGCTCAACACGAGGCCGTGGAAGAATTAATCCAAACTCAAAGTATGACAAATCTAAAATTCAATGTTATAATTGTCAAAAATTTGGGCATTATGCTTCAGAATGTAGAGCTCCCAACAACAAAATTGAGGAGAAGGCCAATTACGTGGAGGAAAAGACAGGTGGCAAAGAAACTCTTCTTCTAGCACGAAAGGAAACTGATGGTGGCCAAGCAAATTCCTGGTATCTTGACAGTGGTGCAAGCAATCACATGTGTGGAAGGAAAGACATGTTTGTGGAGCTAGACGAGTCAGTAAGTGGAAATGTTTCGTTTGGAGATGATTCCACAATAGCAGTGAAAGGGAGAGGTAACATTCTTATCCGTTTGAAAGATGGGAGACATCAATTTATTTCAAATGTCTACTATGTGCCCAATATGAAAAGTAACATTTTAAGTTTAGGGCAACTGGTAGAGAAAGGTTATGATATTCATATGAATAATTATAATCTTTCTATAAAAGATGATAAGAATAACTTCATTGCTAAAGTGCCGATGTCAAAGAATAGAATGTTCTTGATCAACATACAAAATGATGTTGCAAAGTGCCTGAAAGCTTGCTACAAAGATGCATCATGGCTTTGGCATCTTCGATTTGGGCATCTCAATTTTGGAGGTCTAGAGCTATTATCTAAGAAGGAGATGGTGAAAGGACTACCTCACATCAACCATCCTGACCAACTCTGTGAAGGGTGTCTAGTCGGGAAACAATTCAGGAAAAGCTTTCCAAAGGAGTCAGAGACAAGAGCTAAGAAGCCACTTGAGCTCATCCATACCGATGTGTGTGGACCGATCAAGCCAAGCTCTCTCGGTAACAATAATTATTTTCTTCTATTCATTGATGATTTTTCAAGAAAAACCTGGGTATATTTCTTGAAACAGAAGTCAGAAGTTTTTGAAGTCTTTAAGAAGTTCAAAGCAGCAGTGGAGAGAGAAAGCGGTAGAAAGATCAAAGCCATGAGATCCGATCGAGGTGGAGAATTTACTTCCAGGGAGTTTCAAGAGTTCTGTGAAGCAAATGGAATTCGTCGACCAATGACAGTTCCTAGATCCCCCCAGCAAAATGGTGTGGCAGAAAGAAAGAATAGAACAATCCTCGACATGGCACGAAGCATGCTCAAAAGCAAGAAACTACCCAAAGAATTTTGGGCGGAAGCAGTATCGTGTGCAGTCTACTTGTCAAATCGATCTCCAACAAGAAGTGTATGGGGAAAGACACCGCAAGAGGCATGGAGTGGAAGAAAGCCTGGCATTTCCCACTTGAGAACCTTTGGAAGTATAGCCCATGTTCACGTACCAGACGAGAGAAGAACGAAGCTTGATGATAAAAGCGAGAGTTTTATCTTCATCGGCTATGATGCTAATTCGAAGGGCTACAAGTTGTACAATCCAGACAATAAGAAGTTTGTGATTAGTCGAGATGTGGTCTTCAACGAAGAAGGAGAATGGGATTTTAACTCTCATACAGATGACTTCAATTTCTTTCCTCAGTTTGAAGAAGATGAGCAGACAATGAGGGAGCAACTAGATGAATCTCAACAAGAGCTTGCAACTCCACCCACTTCACCAACATCAACCACTCAAGGAGACTCATCACCTTCATCATCGTCAAGTGGGAGTCAAAGTGAAAGAGTTGTGCAACGCACAAGAAGCCTTAGAGATCTCTATGAGGTAACTGAACGACAAGATAATCTTACATTATTTTGTCTGTTTGCCGATTGTGAACCAGTGAGCTTTCAAGAAGCGGTACAAGAAAAGAAATGGAGAGATGCGATGGACGAAGAAATCAAGGCCATCGAGAAGAATGACACATGGGAACTTACCTCACTTCCCAAGGGACATAAGGCGATAGGTGTCAAATGGGTGTACAAAACAAAGCAAAACGCCAAAGGAGAGATTGAAAGGCACAAGGCGAGGCTAGTTGCTAAAGGCTATAGTCAAAAGGCTGGAATTGACTATGATGAGGTATTTGCTCCTGTTGCTCGATTGGAGACTATCAGACTAATCATTTCTTTGGCAGCTCAAAACAAGTGGAAGATACAACAGATGGATGTAAAGTCCGCCTTCCTAAATGGAGTTCTTGAAGAGGAACTTTACATTCAGCAACCATCAGGCTATGAAGTCAAAGGGCATGAAGACAAGGTGTTGAAGTTGAAGAAGGCTCTTTACGGGCTAAAACAAGCACCAAGGGCATGGAATAGCCGAATCGACAAGTACTTCCAAGAGAATGGCTTCAACAAATGTCCCTACGAGCATGCTCTATATATCAAGATCAAAGATGAAGATATTTTGATCGTGTGCCTCTACGTGGACGATTTGATCTTCACTGGAAGCAACCCAAGCATGTTTAATGAATTCAAGGATGTGATGATGAAAGAATTCGAGATGACAGACATGGGGCTCATGGCGTACTACCTTGGCATTGAAGTTAAGCAACAAAATGATGGAATTTTCATTTCACAGGAAAGCTATGCAAAGGAGATACTGAAGAAGTTCAAGATGGAGAACTGTAAGCCAATAAGCACACCGGCAGAATACGGGATCAAGATGACCAAACATGAAGAAGGCGAAAGTGTAGATCCAACATTCTTCAAAAGTTTGGTAGGAAGTCTACGCTATCTAACTTGCACGAGACCCGATATTCTTCACGCAGTTGGATTGGTTAGTCGCTACATGGAATCCCCAACAACCACCCATTTTAAAGCCGCAAAGAGAATTCTTCGCTATCTGAAAGGTACAATTGACTTTGGCTTGTTCTATTCAGTTTCTAATGATTACAAGCTTGTTGGATATAGCGACAGTGATTGGGGTGGAGACATAGATAATCGAAGGAGCACTACTGGATTCGTATTTTTCATGGGAGATATTGCATTCACATGGATGTCAAAGAAACAACCGATTGTCACATTATCCACTTGTGAAGCGGAATATGTTGCTGCTACCTCATGTGTTTGTCATGCAATTTGGCTTAGAAATCTATTGAAGGAGATTGGTTTGATACAAGAAGAGCCTACCAAGGTTTGTGTCGACAACAAGTCAGCCATTGCCTTAGCAAAGAATCCAGTATTCCATGATCGAAGCAAGCACATTGATATTCGCTACCACTATATAAGGGAGTGTGTTGCAAGAAAAGATGTGGAAGTTGAATATGTGAAGTCACAAGATCAAGTTGCTGATATTTTTACCAAGCCACTGACCAGCGAAGACTTCTTAAGATTAAGGAACCTACTAGGGGTCACGAGATCAAGTTTAAGGGAGGGTGTTGGATCATAAACTTGATCCATTATGGGAGCCTAAACCCAAACCCAAACTAAATTGATGTCATTACTTACATCATTTAATTAAAGATGTCATTGCTTACATCATTTAATTAATGATGTCATTGCTTACATCAATTTAGTTAGGTGAGAGTTAGATATTTGTTGAATTTGTAATTGTTTAAATTAGTTTATTTGTGTGGTGTAGGATTGTTCTTGAGTAGTATAAATACCCCTTCCCATTTTAGTTTTAAGCATCAAGAAAAATTAAGAGCTTCTAAGTGAGTGAAGAAGCAAAGTCTTATAAGAGTGAGTTGTAGTTCTTGTTTTTGAGTGAGAGTACTCTTGTAATATTTGTTTGAGTTTCAATAAAAGTTGTTTGTGTGAGTGTTTTATTTCCAACAAACAAGTCCTCTTTCTCAACAAAGTGCTCATCGAACAACACATTACAACGACGTTTCCACAGTTGCCAGACGATTTTAGGCATGTGCATAAAAACATCCCATTTACTTTGTGCTCTGCCTCACTATTTCTTTTCACCGTTGTGCTCATTGGATCCATGACTGAACATATATATGTAATAATTGGAGCAATCAAGAACAGACACTATTATGTCGATTAATTTTCAATGTTGCCATCATGGCAGTGAGAAAACATGTTGGACAGCAGGCTGCTTGGAGAAGTACATGCAGTTTAAGGAAAACGCGTAACACCGAAGGTTGTTGATGTTGTGTTGAAAGAAAGGGAAACAAAAGCATCCAAGGGGCTTTCAGAGCTGTGCCCAACATTTTGTCGAAGTTATCTTGGGAAAGATTGAAAAGCCAAATTTCATTCTCCTACTTATTTATGCATAAAGCTGTTTAGCATTACTATGCTACTGGAATGATTTCAGATGCTTACTTTTCCGTTGCATCTTCAGTGTTTTAATTTCTATTTACTGCTACCAGCAGAGCCAGAATTGACACTAACTGCCACTCTTTGGAAAACTTCAAGGCTAGGTTACTCCAACTTTTCACCTTTTGAGTTTTTTCTTAAAGCATTCCGTATAAGATATATTCCGATACAAATGTAGGAGTATGATCGAGGAAACAAGTATACATATCGATACAAGTGTAAAGGTATAATCTAAGAATCGAGTATACATATATATAGTCGTATCCAATACTTGAGTCGGGATAGCTTAAACTGAAGTTCGTACTACCAGGCAGAGTGAGAATTGTTACAGATAGACAGATAAGGGATTTCACGATCAGAAGAAAAAAGGAATTGTAGTTTGGCATGAAGAAAATTGGAAAGACGTGAGTTTGGTTTTACTGCTTGGGACGATGACTTTGGAGATTCTGTTGACACAAAGTGTGGAGACGAAAAGAATGTAGGAATATAATGATTCGTAGTCTAGTCATTGCTTGCACGCTAGGTTTGGTTTTGTTCATAATTCAATTGTCTGTTTTATCTGCCATCTCTCTCTCCCACATGCCTTAACTGCTTTTGCATTGTGGATCCATGGAATGGCAGTGATTATCATCGTCAGCCTATTGCCTTTGGTCGACTCCAACCTGTGAAAAGTTATTTATTACTACTATTGGACCAAACAATATTATTGGGATGCATGCAGGCAGCCTGCTCTTCTTCTTTTAGTTCCATGGAATTATTTGATATTACGAGTGTTAAGGTTTTCTTAACTATGATGAGAAATGTTAAGAAACTAATTACAGAATTTTCTTAATTTCTTAAAGATGAAAAAACGCTATAAAATGTATGATATCAAGTGTTGAGTAAATCATCTATATCAAAGAATAAAGAAAAAGAGTCCTTCTCTTTTGCAGCACATGGTAGGGAACAATATTAATTAATCAAACTCCTTGGAATGGATTTTGATTGCAGAAATCTTAATTCACATGCTTGGCTTGAATTCTTTGTTTTGCATGTCATTCAACTAAATTCCAAAATGTCTGCATGGTTTTCTTTTCTTTTTTATTTATTTAAATTTTGGGTTTTAATAATAATCTTTTTATTCGTGTTTTTTTTTAGTTTTTGCTAATTGATTTTTCCTCATTTTCTTGCTTTTGTTCGGTTACCAAACGGAGAGTTGATCATTTTATTTCAGACATTGTCATTTACTTGAATATTTGCTAACACGTTACACGTTTTGTTGCAGTAATTGAATCTCATTGTTTCGATTAACTAGTTCTTCTACACATTATTTATTTATTTTTCTATATGATTTACTTTTTTATCCTTGTTTCTTAAATTCTCACTTGATTCTTCCTTAAATGATAGAATACTAAAATGCACTAGCAGTTTGTGAATTTTTTTTGAGATCATGATTTTTATGTTATGTTGTTATCATTGTCTGTTTCTACTGCTCATTGAAGTTTCGAATTGTCAAACTTTATGTCGGTAGATTTGTTCGATTTTTGGAAATGAGTTGGGATCCACATATGGAGATTCAATACATCAACAGTAACTACCCTTATAATAGTGCTGGCAGCTTTATGGAGTATTTTGAAGGTCTTACTTATCAACATGTCAATTTATTTTTCGACGGTGCTATCCATATCCAGGTAAAGTTTAGTTTATATATAAAAAATGTTTTTGAATGCTTTGAATTGATTCCGTTAATGTCTTTGTGTTTTCAAGAACAAATTAATAAGATGAAAAACAGGCTCACTTTTGGGATGAGTTGATTGTAATTGATCCATTGTTTTGATTATTGTAAATGAATTGTTACTATTGGTCACAGCCAAAAATTGAATTTCTGTCTGCAGGAGAGTGTTTACCCATCTATGACTTCAAGATTCTACAAGTTTGGCCTATCTGATTCTGGCAGTATTTCATATTATGATCGTGATATTGATCAGAGTTACGAGGTGAATAACCGTGAGCTATGCATGGATGAAATTAGAAGGGCATCAGAGAATTCCTCGTCAATGAGTTATCAACGCACTGCTGCAATGAATGGGGAATGGGAAAGAAACACAAATGCAAACCCACTTGAAAACGCAGTAGATTGTAAGTTTCCCAATTATACTTTACATTATTGTTTCAATTTTGTGTTTGAAGGTATGTAATATAATGCTAAAAAGGTTATAATGATGACCATAACATATATTTCTAGAATTAGGCTGAGGATTTATGTCAATGGCATGATACAACATTATTTAACTGTTACACTTAATAAACCTCTTATGCATAGGTCTTTCCTTGTCAAGATTGTTTCCTAACCTTTGTTGCATAATGTGATGAATTAAACTTCTCCCGAGGTCTTGATTTTCTATGGTGAATTGTTACATTGTTTGCAACTGTAATTCTTTCTCTAGATTTTATTATTGGACTGGATGCTATGTTTTCTAACAATGAAGTCTCGACTCCCAGACAACATCTTTTAATGGATTTCAAACTTTAAATCATACTTGATTGAAGAGAAACGTTGCTTTTGGGATCAGTTAGATGATGTACTTAGGAGCATTTTGAAGGACCAAAGAGTTTTCATAGGGGGAGACTTCAATGACCATATAGGTAGTGCAACCGAGGGTATGATGGTGTTCATGGGGGTTTCGGTTTTGGTAGTAGGAACGAGGAGGGGCGTACGTTGCTTGAATTTGCTACTGCACACGATATGGTGGTCACTAACTCCTTTAACAAGAGAGATGTGAACTTGATTACGTTCCATAACGGGGGACATTGTACCAAAATCGACTACATCCTGGTTCGAAATCGGGATCGATGGGCTTGCATTGACTGTAAGGTGTTCCCTGAAGAGTCATGTGCATCATAACACAGATTGTTGGTTTTGGTGTTCCGCGTACGCCACGGGCGGAGCACTTATAGGAGGGCTAAACTTGGTAAACATAGGATCCTTTGGAAGAACTTACATGGAGCGACAGCTGATGACTTTAAAAGTAAGGTTTTGTCTAATATAGGTTTTGGAACTACAAACTCAAATAATGCATATATGTTATGGAAAAATGTGACATTCAATTAGAGAGGTGGGCAAAAACACCCTTGGGTTGTCGACAGGGAAGGTCAAGGAACATAAAGAATCGTGGTGGTGGAACGACGAAGTTCAAACTAAGGTGAAGACAAAGCAAACTTGCTTCAAGGAGTATCTACAATGTAATGACGTCGAAGAAAGATCGAAAGCTAAACAAAGATACAAGGAGGCAAAGCGGGAAGCCAAGAAAACAGTGGCCAAAGCAAAGGATAAGGCATACGAGGAAATGTACAAGAGATTAGACACCAATGAATGAAAAACGACATCTTCAGGCTAGCAAAATCCAAGGAAAATATGAAAAATGATCTAGGTAGCATTAGGTTTATTAAGGACAACAATGGTGTTTTTTTAGTGAAAGATCATGATATTAAGAGGGTTTAGGGTAGTTACTTCTTTGGCTTATTTAATGACGGTGCCTCACCTTGTAGAGATAGTACCGTTGGTAGGTCAGCCGTCCATCATACTACGACTAATGTCTGCCTTACAAGTAGGATTGAGTTTGAGGAAGTCAAAATGACTCTTAGAAAGATGGGGAGGGAAAAAGTTGTCGGTCCAGATCAAATTCCTATCACTGTGTGGTCGGATCTAGGAGAAGAGGGAGTTAAGTGGTTGACCATCATCTTTAATATTATTTTAGAGACTGCTAAGATGCCAGAGGAGTGGAGAGAGTCTACGGTGAAACCAATCTACAAGAATAAAGGAGATCCCCAACGTTGTTGCAACTACAGAGGTATTAAACTACTCAACCATACCATGAAGCTATGGGAAAGGGTGATAGAGGCTAGGTTGAGATAGGTTACTAGGATTTCGGGAAATCAATTTGGCTTTATTCCAGGCAGGTCTACTACGGAGGCGATTCATCTACTTCGACGACTTATGGAAAAATATAGGGAAAAATAGAGATCTTCACATGGCGTTCATTGACCTTGAGAAGGCGTATGATAACGTTCCCCGAGATACGATCTGGGAGACCTTGGAAACGAGACGAATCCCAACTGCTTATATCCGAGCGATTCGTGATATGTACTGTAGATCTACTACATATGCCAGGACTACAGTTGGCGATACCGAGGCATTCCCGGTGGAAATCGATCTCCATCAGGGGTCGACTCTTAGCCCTTACATCTTCACCTTGATTATGGACGACATCTATTGTGGGACACTAGAAGGTGTTCCATGGTGTATGCTTTTCGCTGACGACATTGTCCTAGTTGCTGAAACAAAACTGAGTTGAATAGTATACTTGCTACCTGGAAGACTGCTCTGGAAGAAAAAGGTCTAAGGATCAATATTGAAAAGATAGAGTATTTATGTTCAAACTTCAGTGGGAACCAAAACGATGAAGATGTAAAAGTATGCATAGAAGGACACGTTCTCCCATCAAAGGATTGTTTCAAGTACCTAGGGTCTATGATACATAAAGATGGGGGTATGGATGATAACGTTATACACCGTATAAAGGCGGGATGACTAATGTGGAGGGATGCTACTGGAGTTTTGTGTGACAAGAAGGTACCTCTAAAACTTTAGGGAAAATTTTATAGAATGACAATAAGACCAGTGCTGCTGTATGGATCAGAATGTTGGGCAATCAAGAATGATCATGTAAGGAGGATGAATGCCGTAGAAATGAGAATGCTTTGATGGGCATGTGGTAGGACTCTGTGGGACATGACACCAAACTCTGCTATTAGGATGTCCTTGGGGGTGGTGTCTGTATCCGAAAAATTGAGGGAGGGAAGACTACGGTGGTTTGGGCATGTCTTTTGGCGACAACCATCGGATGCAGTCAGAAGGGTAGAGTCGATTACAGTTGATGGTGCCAGAATGAGAGGACGACCAAGGCGGAAGTGGGAAGACTGCTTGAGATCCGATTTGAAGGATTTAGTCCTTACCGAGGACATGACCTCTGATAAGAAAGTATGGAGACTTAAGACCAGGGTAGCCGAGTAGTGTGGGTCATATCCATTGGGTGTATCATCTCTATCTTCTTTAAATGCCTTTGTAGTAATTTCCATGATTTCTACTTTTTATACGTTTCTGTCATTGGAATTTATGAAGGCTTATAAGTAGGGTAGCGGAGTACTGTTGCATTAGTTTAGGTTTTAAACCATTTGACTTTATTCCTTCTCGTAGCTTGCTATCGTTGACTTCTGTGTATCATTCTCTTCATGTTTCCTCTTTTTAAATTTAGGCGGGTCTTAGGTTTCTGTCTATATGCAGAGATTTTTACGCAGGGATTTATTTGTAGGGATTACTTCACATTACAGACGCGCATATGAAGACTACTCAACTATGTATTTATTTATTTACTTATACACACATTGCATTTTATCTTTATTTTTAATTTTCTTACTGCCGGAGGTCTTCCATGAAAGCTGCTCTCAACCTGGCGCTGGGGGCAGCCTACTACCCTACCTCCCCCTTACCCCATTGCATATGGGAATAGGGTTTTGTTATTGTTATTGTTGTTTTAATTTTAAGGTGTCTTTGCTCCTTTTTTATCATGAAGTGAAATGTAGTCTCTTTTTCTGTATCACCAGTTCTGGTAATAGAGTGACCACCATATTCTTATTACAATATATATCTAGGATTTACGATAATGTTTCCCCATTCCAATGCTTTTTTTCACTTTACAGTTCCACAGAGACAACATAATGCTAATGATTACCAGGTTTTTCTCTCTGTTATTTTCTTTGTTGAATACATGTGTGCAACTCTTTTCTCGAACTATGAACTTTCATTCCATTATATGTGGATGATTATTTGCATTGGCATCTAATATTAGTGACTTCAATCTTCTAAGTTTTTATGTTGTATACATGTTAAAGTGTGTATATGCTTTTCCAAGAATTAATACTAGTACAGTTATAGAGGTTTAAATCTTTGTAGTTTTTAGTTTCGTGGTTCATAAAGTTAAATGTTGTCAAAATATGCAGGTCATTTGGCAAGATTATGTTGATCCCGACAACATGACATATGATGTTAGATAAAAAAAACTCTTTTTTTTCTTCTTATTGTTGCATTGTTTCTCTAGTTTTCTCATAAACATTTCAATTAACGCTTGATTTGTGCAATTCTGAGTTTGAGAAAAAAGTGAAAAACACAATGTTGTAATTGGATCAATGTTTTCTATATGGATTCAGAGGTCATTCTTCCTGTTTTAGTTCTTTGGATTGGTGGACTCATTAAAGGTAGTAAATTTTTTGGGTTCAGAACATCGAGTTTCAACGGAGGGTGAGGGTGCTAAAATATTTTCTAAGATGTTTCCAGAATTAAGAGCTAGTAGATTTTTGACATGAAGTTTGTGGGTGGCTGAAACTGTTGCTTAATTTTGATAGGTTAAAACACAATAATCGAGCACTTCTCTCTTTAATCAAAACTTTTTTTATTGCAATGAGATCCTAACGGGTTTATGAACAACAAATTAAAATAGAACAAAATGGTGAAAATCTCATCATCATTATCTTTGTGAACTAGATGTGTAATTTTCCAGATGGAATATAAAAGAGGTGAGAGACGGATTACCCTACCTTGCAAACATGTCTACCATGCTGGATGTGGCACCAAATGGCTTAGAATCAATAAGGTAACCCACTGACCTTTCCCCCATTCTCATGATTGGATTCCCCACCAGAAAAGAAGGGTAAGCAAAGCATGCTTCTTTATTCCATTTATTATGGCAACAGTTTGGGAAGCTGCTAATTGAAAATTTATTTCTCCAGGCTTGTCCTATATGTTATACAGAGGTGTTTGGCGATGGATCAAACATTAATGGATAATCACGATGAACATAAAGAAAATATATATGCTTTTTATCAAAAAAATTTGGGCCTTGGATTTGGGTTGTTTCCCCCCTTAATACGAAGATGTTTTACGGAAGATTAGTTGATTGGCTTTTGCATTAAAGCAAAGGGGGTAATGAACATGGTAGAAGATGGATGTATAAAGTTTTAGATGATGTTTGTTATATTCCAATTAGTGTTCATTTACTGCCCATTTTCATCATTATCATACGCTTTTGAGAAGGTGGTTAATCGTGTAATCTCAAATGCAAACAAGTTTTAGGAGGCTTCCCGATTATCACACACACCAAACAAAAATGATTCAAATTATATTGTAACTATAAGGAGTTGCAATGATCACTGTTCTAATTGACAAATTCCAAGAATAAATTAGTCACATTAGTTGGTAGAGACGATGCGATGAATTTCGTGGATTCCCAAATGTATAATGGTGAAAGTATTAAAATGCATAAATTATTGAAAACTTCAATGCGGGTATTCACATGAAAATAAACATAACACATGTTTGAAAAAAAAATCATTTTGTATTATATAATGTTTTTATATGTGAAATTTGAATTTGATTTAATTTTTACAAACTATTGAAAAAGTATTTCAACTAGAATATTTTCATTAGAATGAAAGCCAAATGACAATTCAAGTTCATGTCATAACAAGCTGTAAGAACCTTGCATGGCACAAAGAAAGCAACCAACAACAGAGACCTAGCTTAAAAGAGACAACCTTGCAGACAAAGAACACCTATGAAGACCAAGACAAATAAATAAAGGGCAAACTATGTAAATGGTCACTAATATTTGAGTAAGTTTTTATTTTCACCACTAATGTTTCAAAAGTCACAAATCGGTCACTAACATTATCGTTTGTTACAAATTTGTCACTCGACGTTAACAACCGTTAACAGACGTGACGAAAAACACAGTTGGCACATTAATTGCTTACTTAGATTGGGTTGACTGGGTTGACAACCACTTTTTTTTTAAATTTCAGTGGGAAAAACGAAAATTTACTCAAACATTAGTGACTAACTGTGTAGTTTACCCTAATTAATAGGGGGAGAATCAAAGGTCTCATTTACCATTATGAAACATTCTTCTTCTTCTTCTTCCATAAACATTTTTTTCTTTTTTCATAAACTCATTGCTTCTTCTTCCATAAACCTATTTCTTCTTCTTCCATAAACCTACTTCTTCTTCTTCCATAAATTCATTTCTTCCTCTTCAATAAACCCTTTTCTTCTTCTTCCATAAACACATTTATTTTTTTCCATAAACCCATTTCTCCTTCTTCAATTCGCCTGAGAGAAAAAAATAATGAGAAAAACGATTTTTTCTTCTTCCATTTGTCTGAGAGAAAAAGTAGTGAGAAAAACAAGCAAAGAAAAATCATAGTACTTACATGGAGGTTACGGCAAAAGGGAGATAACACTATGCTTTATGTTAAACTTCTTTTGGGTGATAGAAAATAAAAAAAATTAGTTGGGCATCCACAATTGCAAAGCGGAACATCAATGGAGTCTTCCATCTTCATAGGATTTCTCTTCTCTAACAATTTTCAGAATTTTTTTAAAGAATATAGATAGAAATGAAAAACCTTAAATTAAGTTTAGGGATTATTTTTTTAAGGGGAAGAGGTGACCGTTGTAGGCTTTGGGTCTCCAACGTGGCGATCAACCCAGTCCATGTAAGCAATTAAAGCGCTAGCTGTGTTTTCCGTTACGCCTGTTAACGGTTGTTAACGTCGAATGACCAATTTGTATCAAACGATAACGTTAGTGACCGGTTTGTAACTTTTGAAATATCAATGGTGAAAACAAAAACTTACTCAAACATTAATAACCATTTGCGTAGTTTACCCATAAATAAATCAGGGTATCACACTGGAAAAATACTAAGCAGAGAACTCCTTTCAGACAAAGTAGAAGGACAGAAGACTGCTTGAGCCAGCAACGCAGAAGAAAAACCAAACATTAAAATCAATTTTTTTTATGTATAAAACTAAACCAAAATTAAAAGTTTATGTAAATAATTATGTCAAATGTATTGTTTTATATATTTCATTAAACTTTTTAATATTTATTTATTTATTCTTTGCATCAAAGGCATGCTTCTGATACTTTTCCGTCGAAAACTAGTTGATTGCATTGAAAGAAGAGAGTTGGAAGCAATATCATATCGACTTTGTAGTTGAGTAAATAAAATATATCCAAAACTTAAAAATATTTCTTTACACGAAAACAAAATAGAAATCCAATCTCCTTTAGGCTCCAAATTGAATTAAAAATAGTTTACAGTGTTTGGTGAAGCTTAGGTAGTTGTTGGTTTGGGGTTAACAACATGCATTAGAAACGACGTGGTAAAAAACAAGACTTCAACTTGGATAAGAAAGGGTCAGAGTCAGAGAAATGAATTGTGGTTGATGCCAAATTGCTTCTACTGATGAATTAATAACCGGCGCCAGCCTGCATGTTGAGTTCAAAACCATATATATTATTATATTGCACAAGTCATCATCGGACCTATTCTTTCTGCTTCAACGCGTTGGAGTTTTTATTTTATACCTACTTCGGTGTTGCAACAGTCAAACAAACCCAAATACATCAGGAGAAACAGCCAATTCTGATGGCATTTTATATTAAGGTAGTGCTATACAATTATGTAAATCCAGCTTGCTTTTTATATTATATTCAAGAAAATACTTTATTAATGAGTGAGGAGATGAGTATATAAAGGGGGCTATCTCTTGTTCATGGATATGCCTCAAGAGTAGTGTTTTCTTAGCTATTACTAGAAATAGAAATTGTATTGCCACAAACATGTGTACTAGAGTACATCCACAGGGGCACCGCCCTCCATTCATCCTTGCTTTAACATTTTGCCTTGTGGCAGCAGCTACTGTGGTTGCTGATCATGAACCTTATGAATATTCTTCTCCACCTCCACCAAAGCACCCTAAGTACACACATTCTCCTCCTCCTTACTATTACAACTCACCACCTCCTCCATCTCTTACTCCTCCGCCACCATCTCCCTCACCCCCACCTCCTTACTATTACAAGTCTCCACCTCCACCATCTCCTAGTCCCCCACCACCATACTACTACAAGTCTCCACCTCCTCCCTCTACTAGTCCCCCACCGCCTTACTACTACAAATCTCCACCTCCACCCTCACCAAGTCCTCCGCCACCATACTATTACAAGTCACCACCTTACTACTATGATTCACCACCTCCACCATCTCCTAGTCCCCCACCACCATACTACTACAAATCTCCACCTCCACCATCTCCCTCACCACCACCTCCATACTATTACAAGTCTCCACCTCCACCCTCACCGAGTCCCCCACCACCATACTACTACAAATCACCACCTCCACCATCTCCCTCACCACCACCTCCATACTATTACAAGTCTCCGCCTCCACCCTCACCGAGTCCCCCACCACCATACTACTACAAATCACCACCTCCACCTCCCTACATTTACAAGTCACCACCACCACCTTCACAAAGCTCACCACCGCCATACTATTATAAGTCTCCACCTCCACCCTCTCCTAGTCCCCCGCCACCATATTACTACAAGTCAACGCCCCCACCATCTCCATCACCACCACCACCTTACTATTACAAGTCACCTCCACCTCCTTCACCTAGTCCACCACCTCCGTACTACTACAAGTCACCACCTCTACCATCTCCTAGTCCACCACCTCCATACTACTACAAGTCTCCACCACCTCCTTCTCCGTCACCACCACCACCTTATTATTATAAGTCACCCCCTCCACCATATACTCATTACTAGTCACCTATCCTCAAGTGAAATCTGCACCTTATTACTACCATACATCATCAACACTTTTTAAGCTAAGTTATTGTTTTAATATCTTCGTTCGGGTTGAAGATCAGATGTGGAAGAAGAATAATTATAACGTTTTTCAGCATTCTTCGTTTGTGTAAATTGTGTTCGCTTTCTTATCAGCTCCATATAGTCATGCTTTGAACATTTTTCTTATTACTGTATTAATTGAATTCCATATTGCGAGTATATATACAAAATGCGGGGCTTGAATGCATGGAAAAAACATTATCAACTATTTGAAAGGAAAAAAGGCTGAAATATTATAAAATTAGAGGGACTAAATCATATTAAATTAAAGTATATATGTTAAATTCGAAATTTTAGAATAATGGAGGGACCGAAACAATTATTAGACCAAACATTAATCATCATACAAACTCCAAGTTAGCTATATAAGTTGAACTCCAATTTGAATATAAATGATGTTACGCCTAACTACGCGAGCCTGTTTGGTCTCAATCCGAAGCGTGAGCTCTTCCAATATTCTCCCAGCACTAGTAAGCAATGGACCCAACGATCTTCTCAACGAGGTGCAGCTCCTATCCTCACGCGGACAAATCCAGGAAGCTTTCTAACTCTTCTACAATACATCACCTCTGCTTCACTCTCTACAAACATATGCCACTCTCTTCCATGAATGCGCCCGCCATGGGTATCTTCAACAAGGTCTTCATTTGCATACTTGCCCATTTTCCCAACAGCACCTCTGACCTCTTTGTCACCAACCATCTTATCACTGTGTACTCAAAATGTGGATATTTACAATATGCTCAGCAACTGTTTGATGAAATGCCTGAAAGGAATATCGTTTCTTGGACGGCTCTTGTCTCGGGGTATGCACAATGTGGTCGGAGTGCAGAGAGTTTTAGACTCTTTTTGGAAATGTTAGCTGATCGTCGCTCTCGGCCGAATGAATTTGAATTTACAAGCGTGCTTAGTTCGTGTGATGACTTGCGTGGTAAGCAATTGCATGCACTCTTGTTGAAGATGGGATTGGATGCCTCTGTTTACATATCAAATGCTCTTATTACCATGTATAGCAAGAATAAGGTAGAGGAGGCTTGGACATTGTTTAGAAGTCTGGGCTATTGGACTCAGGTTTCTTGGAATTCAATGATTGCTGGGTTTCAGTTAGCAAAGCTTGGGATGCATGCGATTGGTGTTTTTGTCAGAATGCATCACGAGGGCATTGGCTTTAATCGTGCCACGCTGCTCAGTGTATTCTCTTCATTATGTGGACGCAAAGATATTGAGATGGATTTGGGTCTTAAATTTTGTTTTCAGGTATATTGCCTCAGTGTTAAAACTGGATTCATTTCTGAAGTCGAAGTGGCGACTGCATTTATGAAAGCTTATTCGGAGCTTGGAGGAGATATTTCTGAATTTTTCATCTCTTCCTGGAGACAAGTTGTCAAGATATAATTTTTTGGACTAGCATGATAAATGCATTTGCAGAACGTGACCCAGTTAAAGCTTTCTTCCTTCATCGACAATTGCTTAGAGAGGACTTGAGACCAGACTAGTATACTTTTTCAATTGTATTTAAAGCTTGTGCAGGCTTTGTAACTGAGAAGCATGCCTTGGCAATTCATTCGCAAGTTATTAAAGCTGGTTTCGAGGATGATACGGTGCTAAGAAATGCCTTGATCCATGCACACAAGATGTGGCTCCATTGCTTTGTCTAAGAAAGTGTTTGAAGAAACGGGATGTCGTGATCTGGTCTCCTGGAACTCGATGCTTAAGGCCTATGGTTTGCATGGAAAAGCTAAGGAAGAACTACAACTCTTCCAACGAATGGACCTCAGACCTGATACCGCTACCTTTGTTGCTCTTCTTTCAGCTTGCAACCATTCTGGAATGGTGGAGGAAGGAATGAGAATCTTTGACTCCATGTTCAAGAAACATGGTATTATTCCACAGTTAGACCACTATGCTTGCATGGTAGATATTCTTGGACGAGCTGGCCAAATCACCGAGGCCGAGGAGCTTATAAGTAGGATGCCTATGGAGCCTGACTCAGTAGTTTGGAGTGCACTACTTGGGTCATGTAGGAAGCATGGTGAAACTCGGTTAGCTAAAATTGCTGTATCCAAACTGAAACAGATGGAGCCTGAAAATTCATTGGGATATGTACAAATGTCAAATATCTACTCTTCAGGTGGCAGATTCAACGAAGCAGGAACAATTAGAAAAGAAATGCATGGTTCAGGAGTAAAAAAGGAGCCAGGACTAAGTTGGATCGAGGTCAGGAATCAGGTGCACGAGTTTGCCTCCGGAGGCAGACAGCATCCTCAAATAGATGCCATATGCGCCAAGCTTCAGGTATTAATTGGGCAATTAAATGAGGTTGGATATGTACCAGAAACAAGGTTGGCCTTGCATGATATAGAGGAGGAGCACAAACAAGAGCAGCTGTTCCACCACAGTGAGAAGATGGCTTTGGTTTTTGCACTGATGAATGAAGGGAACTTACATTGTGGTGGGAATGTGATAAGAATAATGAAGAACATCCGATCTGTGTTGACTGCCAACTTCATGAAGTTGGCATCGGATTTTCTTCAGAAAGAGATCATTGTTAGGGATTCAAATCGTTTCCACCACTTTAAAAATAAGATATGTTCTTGTAATGATTATTGGTGATGGTAAGCTTTGAATAATACAAAGATGTGATAATTTTGGACATGCCATCATTATATCACATGAATAGTAACTCAAATAAGACATAAGATATAACATACAAACATGTATATATATATATGTATATGTATGTATATATAAGCACTAAATTACAATGAGAATGCAAGAAAAATCCAGGTGATGGATGACCAAGGGAGTCTACTGCTAATTAAATATTTTACAGACGAAGAGGCTATCAAATTAGCAGCAAACTATGCTTACTGTTTTCCTATGTTTATTCTGTGTGATGGACATATCATTAAATGCTTTTAACAGTAGTCATAGCCGTGCATGTATTAATACACACATATGTATATATATAAGCATAACTAGTTGAAATGAAAAGTCTTTCTAGTCCTCTTCAAACCCAAAATGACAAGAAGCAATCCAAAATAATTAAAAGTGTAACTATCCTCCAAAAGTTCCAGTTTATGATTGTTCCATGGAGGGAGCTTGTACCAAAAATCAGTTAAGAAGCTTCTTCTAGCCACAGCCTTGTAGTGTGTAAATGTGTCAAAGGTGAATTTGTCATGGTACTTTCCCATCCCACTTTCACCAATGCCCCCAAAAGGAATGGTATCTGCTGCAAACTGCATTCGATGCGGGCATTAATGATTAGGTTCTATTATTTAATGGTTTGGTTGTTAAACTTTGATACGTTAATGTACCTGAATGATTGCTTCATTAAAAACCACACACCCGAATGATGTTTCAGATACCATTCTCTTCCTCTAACACTTCATTTTTGGTGAAAGCATATATTGCTAGGGGTTTAGGCCTTGAATTTATAAAATCTATACTGTCTTCAATCTTATCCAACTGCCAAAAAAACCCCCGATTTGTCAAGATAAGAAAAGGGACTGCTCCCTGCAAACTACTACTTCTTGAGCTTATTAGCATTATAAATGTGGTTTAAGAGTGCCTAGATGTTTCTTACTGTGATTATAGGAAGCAGTGGGCCAAAGATCTCATCTGTCATTATTGCTGATTCAAGTGGGGGATCCACTAATATTGTTGGCTCGATGAACCAGCACGGATTTTGTATCTTCATCAGATATATTAATAATTCAAGCTTTTGCAGCTGCAATGAAAAGATTGATCAGAGCTAAACTAGGAGAGTGGATGGATTACAAGTTGTCTTCATCCATTGAACCGCCAAAGACGATAGTCTTTAACATTTTGATGAGTTTGAAGGTTTTTCAGCCTCAGGAAATGATGTTTGTTAATTATCCTGGCAACACTATGTGATTCTCTAGGGTTATCTCCAAACATTGTCTTGATCAAGGCCTTGGTCATTTCCACCTGCAAAGAGAGGTAATCTGTATTCACTATGATTATTAAGATACAAAAGAAGAAATGGATAGTATGTATGATGAATATAAGAGATTCACATACCACAGTAGATGAAAATGATTTTTCCACTAATATATAGTCAATTGATATACATGCTTGACCCGCACAAGATCCATATTTTGCCCCAATGATTCGTTTTATAGCCACCTTGATAGAATGAACAAACTCGGATTAGTAGTATTTAAACGATGGAAATTGAACCGTTACGGACCGCTAAGCATGTAATCTGGCAAGCAATTTAAAAACAGAACCTCTTTGTCAAAAGACCAGGAGAGGGAATCAAGAACAGCAGGGCATTTCCCACCCAGCTCTAGAGTCACGGGCGTTAGATTCTTTGCAGCTTCCGACATTATTACCCGTCCCACTTTTGCACTTCCTACCATTAATTTTACAGTTAAAATTCCAAAAAATGTTACTTATAAAGCAAGTTAAACTAAGGTAAAAGAACAACATGATCCCCAGTTTTTAATTACATTTTCTATTAACAATCCAATCTGGTATACAATGATACCTGTGAAGAAAATCTTATCCCACTTTTGCTGAAGCAGTTGTTGGCCAACAACGGGGCCACCCTCAAAGACCTTGATGTTGGGAAATAAACAAGAACAAGTAATTTTCCTATAATCAGATTAGTGAGAATGCGAAATAAAAGTAGAAAAATAATACCCGAAATTGATAATGGAGTTCAGCCAATTTGCTTACGTCTTCGGCCTGCTGCAGATCTTTTACTAAGATAGAAAATTTACAGGTGTTTACAAAACACTCACTACTCACAAGAAAACTCTCTAGTATTGGGAGAAAAAAAATGATTTGGGATTTTGGGATGATTTTGAAACTAAATGAGTTAGGGTATTTATAGTTGAACTTAAGGACTAATCTTGTAAATACCCTAAAGTGCATTAACTATTTCTAATTATCCCATTATCATTTTTCAACAAACATCTACCAAACTTTGAAAACCCATTTTTCAAAGAAACATT